GATATGGAAAAGGCTTACAATATGGTGCAATGGAATGTTCTTTTAGAAATTATGAAAAACATAATATTTAATGCAAAGTGGAGACAGTGGATCTGGGGTTGCTTATCATCAACTCACTTTTTTATTTTGTATAAAGGCAACTCATTTGGGTTTTTTAAAGCTATACAAGGACTATGTCAAGGTGATCATCTCTACCCTTTCTTCTTTACTATTTATGAGGAATGCTTTAGTCTGATGTTCACCAATGTAATGAGGAGGGGACACGTTAGTGGTTTGTATATGCCTAACAGTGGTCCGTGTATTTCTCATTTACAATATGCTGATATACCCTTTTGTTTTGTGGAGCACAAAATTCTTAGATTTCTAATATTGCCACTTTCCTGAAATATTGTGAAGTTGCATTGGGTTTAAAGGTTAATTTTGGAAAAACTAGTATTGCGGACGTTAACTGTCGTGATGTGGAGGTGTCCTCTTTAGCCGAGGTTTTTGGCTGTAAAATTTAATATTTCACTATTACCTATTTAGGGATGCCATTGTCAAACGGTCAGCTGTCTATTGCGATTTGGGATCAAATCCTTCGACGCATCCAAGTCAAGCTTGATTTATGGAAGTTTAAATATCTTTCCTTTGGGGAAAGGATTACACTTATTAAGGCGTGTTTGTCTAATTTGCATATTTACCAAATGTCTATCTTATAGATCCCTACCTCCGTGGCCAGGAAAATTAAAACTATGATGAGGAACTTTCTGTGGGGGTTCTCAATGGAGGAGAAAAGATTCCATCTCCTCCGTTGGGATACTCCTTGATTTGATAGAATGCCCTCTGGAGCGCACTTGTCAGCAAGTTGGGAAATAAAACACCGTATGGCTTGTACTCGACCTTGAAACCGCGGATTTCCCGAAGGTTCTAGGGAGGAGGCATTTCAGTAATGGCCCATATTTTCGACGGATCTACCTCAAGGGTGTGTACGCCCAAAAAGGAAGGGGGGCTTGGTATTAGAAAAATTAAATTGGTAAATCAAGCTTTGTTATATAAATAGTGGTGGAGTCATTGTCTCGAAGTATGGGACTGATAGGTTTGGTATGTGGGTGGGGACTAGGAATGGAGTCAGCGGTATACTGTTTGGAAGGCAATTCATTCGTGTAAAGGCTTTGTTCATCGAGACATTCGGTGGTTTCTGGGTAGTCGTAAGAAGATTTTTTTTGGCACCACAAATGAGTTGGGGATTATCCTCCGAAATTGCTTTTTCCTTTGTTCTTTCAAAAGATGGCTAATCCTGAAGCTACAGTCTCATACTGTTTTGCTCGCAACGGTACCCTAATTCTGTGGAATATTACCCTTCCTTATAATAGAGTTTCTGACCTTCTTTTCACTTAATATTTAGGGTTACTCAGTTTATTGAAGGACATATATATTCATCATAATGTTGTTGATAAGGTGGATTGGGAAATTGACAAAATTGGGATTTATTCGGTTAAGTCTATGTATCATTTACTATTCCATGATAGGGTGAGATGGTCCATGCCTGAAATAGCTATTATGTAGAAATAGCCCTTACCTCTCAAAGTGCTAGGCTTTTTATGGCTGGTAGTCCAAAATAGGGTGCTCACGATTGATAATCTCATTAAGCGAGGGAAAGTTCTGCCTAATATTTGTCTTATATGCAAGGAGGATGGGGAATCAGGTGACCATCTCTTTCTCTATCGTCCTTTTGCTAGCCACATATGGAGATGGTTTCTTGAAAAGCTTGGAGTTGCAATTGTTACGCCGTCTTCTATGGTTGGGATATTACATAGCTTGTTGGTTACCTTACCACGGACTGGGGCTGTTGTTTGGCAAATCTTTAAGGGTTTCATTCTTTGGGAAGTATGGAAAGAGAGAAATAGAAGAGTTTTTAAAGAGATTTCTCTACCTTTTGGAAAAGTTTTGGAGAGGATTCTGCACTCTATCTGATTACATCTTTTTGTTACTACTTGTGGGCAGGATATATCTGAAGTGGATGTTCGAAGAAATTTAAATAATCTTTTCCATTTGGGTTTCATGAAATGTAGGCTTAAAGGTAGATGGAATGCTCCACCACCAGGGGTTTACAAACTTAACTTTGATGGTAGCTCGGTTGGAAACCCGCGACAAGCTGGTATTGGTGGGGTGCTTCGTGACTGGATGGATAATGTGGTCTTTACATATGCGGAGCCACTTGGGGTTCGAATTGCCAATTTTGCCGAGCTCTTTGCTCTTTTTTGTGGTATGCATATCATTGTGGAGAGGAATTTGGGTGGCTCATTCATCTTTGAAAGGGATTCCCTCAATAACATTAAGTGGTACACATGAGCGCAGTTGATACCTTGGGACCTCAAATCTTTATTGTTTCAAATTTTGGACCTGCCTACTCATATTCCGTCTCTTTTGTTCATGTGTATAGGGAGGCTAATGGGTTGGCTGATTCTCTTGCTAAAGGAGGTTCATCCCTTTCTGTTTTGTTTATTTCTAATTATGTAATCTCCTTTTAATTTAATACAATTTATGAACTTTCATAATAAAAAAAAAATCCATTTTTTGTGAAACAAACATACCCATAGGGTGTCGATGATTCTACCATAGAGAATTGCCGATTTTTGGGGGGGAATGAGCAATTCCCATCTAGAACCAGCCCATTCTTGAAATAACAGAGGAACCATCATTGGGCACGATGACTTTCGATCTAGATCGGTGATTCTTTAAACCTTGATTCAAAGTGAGAAATGATTGAAAGTGGCTATCGGGCATGTAAGAGGTGAATGGTCTAATAGAAAAATTAAGTTCAATACTTTGGATTCTCAAAATACGAAGTTAGAGCGTTTATAGAAGGAAAATGTTATAAGGTTGCAACCTTAAAATGTAGAATTACATATACACCTTAAAAATCCATCAGAGAATATTTTTTTAATGTTGAAAAATCCTCTAATAGATCATATCGACGTAGAGATGTATGAATATGAAAAGAAAAAGATTATGAGTCTCAGAAATAGTGCATCTTGCAACACATTATCTAGACTGTCCATTTTCAAAATTTCCATATGTTGATAGATCGACTTGATTTTAACCTTTTTTGAAGTTTAAAATTTTATAATTACGTATGAAAATAGATTTTCAGATAATCCTAATAATTTTTTACATCAAAATTGTATGTTATAATAAATTTTTGAGATGTGCCTTATAGAAACCACACCCTTTATAAAAAAATGAGAAGAAAAATACGTAAACAAGATATGGACATAATATTTCTATTTTTGGGTTTTTTTTTAATTAACAATAAATTAAAGGGGTATTTCTCTGTTTTTTCTATCGTATACTCCCCCTACACAAATATTCAGTATGCGTTTTGTTAGGCAATACCACTTGGTGGTGTATAACCTTAAATTCCTCAATATTTTCGAACATTTAAATACCCTTGAATTGTAATACAAATTTTTTTAAGTAGGGGCATTTTTTGTTATTGAGAATGGTATAATGGATATTTCTATAAGAAAATAGTGGTATTATATTAGTAGTTAAAAAACAATTAATGCATCTTGGGGTGATGTCACAACCATGTCATTGTCCACTGTTGTTAATAAATACTTTTGTTTATATTAAAAATTTCTACTTTGCTTTTGACTAATTATTTAAAATACCCCTAAACAAAAAGTTATTACACTATAAGATAATGGTATCTAAGTATCAAAAAATATTTAAGACTTTAAAGGTATACACCACCAAGTGGCGTAGCCTAACCAAGCTATTAAGTATTTGTTTGCATTTCTATCTTTCTCCACCTCTCTTGCTCTTTTTTAAAAACCAGAGTGATGGAAAAGCTAAAATGAAATCAGCTAAACCACTCATTTTTGGTCAGAGAATTGAGCAAGTCTATTACGACACATGCAGCTCTAATCAGCCTGATCATTGGTCTCCTGCCCATTTTACTTTATTATTATTAGTTTATTTCTAAAATTTTAATCTAAAAATATTATTTTAAAGTTCTTTCAGAGCCATTCCCAATGCCACCCACATATAAAAGTTTAAAAAGTAAGGATAAAGTTGCAACCTTAACCTTATACTATTGAAGTAGGGTGCACCTCAAAAATCCTACAAGGGATAATGTTCTAGCATATGAGAACGCTCAAATCATCTTGACCTTTAGATGAATGAACATGAAGAAAAAAATGAATTCTAAGTCCGAAAAATAGTGCATTTTGTAACAAGTTATTTGGACCGTTTATTTTCATGATTTTCAAATATTTTTCGAATCGTACTTTTTTGAAATTTTAAATTTTATAATTGAGAGTAAAATAGATTTTAAAACCAACATAAGGTTTTGAACTATTGTTTCATAAATGCGATCCAAAGGTATAAAGCATCCATTTTAAAAATAGATGCAAATAGGTGGTCCATTTAAAAACAATGATAAATACCAGTCCAAATGTTTTTTCATATAATTATTATTTTTAATTTGAATTTTTTTTTTTTTATGATCTTCATGTTGGGAATTATATATTTTCTAGAAGTGAAGAACAAATTATATTTAAAAATTTTATTTATTGACAAGTCCGCATTTCTACATGTACGGGCTTTGGCCGAATGGTGACTGCATTCTTAAAGAAGGACAAAGCACAAAAAGATAAATCGGGGTTAAGATTTCTTTCTTCCGCTGTCTGGCGGACTACAAATTAATTTGCAGATCCTCTCCGTCTTTCTCTTGTTTGACAATCTAGATCCTCTCTCTCTCTCTCTCTCTACTTTAACTTTAGTCGTCCTCTCCTCCCTCTCTACTTACTT